AAATGGTATCACAAGTCCGCATCTTGTACAGCAATTAACCACTAAGAAGAATATATGCAGTGTATTATTTGTTGAAACTGTCCTTCCGATATGATTTGAAAGTGTCTCATTGCTATCTGTTTGTCAATAAAACTTTGAAAAAAAATAAAATAAAAAAAAATAAATAAAGTAAATTGCCATTTCCATTGACTTTATATTACTTCTTCCTTGTCTTTTACACACACTCACACAAACACACACACACACATACATACATATAAACGAAAAAATTATATAACCAACTTGAGATTGATACTCCATGTGTAAATCTTCAACGACCTTTTAAATGGGTTGATCTGATATATTTTACATAGTTCTGCATATCATTTTGAAATCTCTTTATTTTTCATCCAGGACCATATGGCTTCTTTTCCTGACTGCTAGATTATGTTCTTTGTTATTTCCTATATGCTACATCTGGATGTATTATAATATTCCAAGTTTGTATAACTGGAAAATATGTTCCTCTTAGTTTTTAAAGGTACGTTTGTCAAGATTAAAATCAAATAAAGAAAGCTCTTTTTTTCTTGTTCTTGTTTCATCATTTGAATAAATTAGTTATATTCTTGCACACGTGGTCTATTTATTTTTTTCTAATGCAGAATAAGATGCTATTTAATTTGGTTCTTCCATAGATAATATTTTTCATGTACAGGCTTTAATGATTTTTTTCTTTACTATAAGTTTTGGACAAATTCATTTTTGTGTATCTTGGTATTATACATTCATTTTATTTTATTTAAATTTCTTGTGCAAAACATCTATTTTTCTTGGAAATGTGATTGTATAATTTCAACTAAATGCAGAAATTTTGAATATTTAAATATTTTTTGCCTTCCCCAGTTCCACTTTAAACATTCTAATTATACATATATGTTTGTCAATTTTGACACAGATTGAACTATTATGACTCATCTGCAAATTCATTGCTTTTATATTAGTTTTGGAGAATTTTTATTGTCATATTCATTTTAGCTTATACAATAATTTATTTACAATGTGATATCCATAATTAATCTCATGGTACTTATTCATCTCAGAAATATTTCTCTGAAATTCACTCTGTCTATATCTTTTTTTTTTTTTTCGGATTCAGGGATTGAAGTCAAGCCCTAATGCTTGCCAGGGAAGCACTTATTCTACTGAGACATCTCACCGGCCCCTGTCTACATCTTATATCTTTCACATTTCAATATTTGTCGAGAACTTAATATGCTATATAATTATTGATTTTCAATAAAATTAAGTGGAAAAACAAATAAATAATAACATTTTCATTGTATCTTCTTAATTTCTGAAGTTATTTTCCAGGATAGCACAAATCCAACATTAATAATTCAAAAGAAAATATTTCTGCATAATAAAATAAATATCTATATTCTGAGACACACAGATACGTTGATGTGCTATTTTATGTAATTGCTAAATTTTTTTCAGCAAATCCTACATACATTCTCTGGTTATATCTGACATGCACAGTTCACTTTGACTGAGTCTGCATGCTGTATGTGGAAGGTGCATTTATCTCTAAACTGTGTCCTTAACCACAAGGCAATCTGGTGATTCTTGCCTTACACTCACACTATATAGTCCAGTAACAAAAAAAAAAAACCACTAACACGCACAGAATCATGTTAAGGTTTGCAATCAATTATGGCCTCAAATTCAGCTTTCCATGGTGTTGTGGTCCTGTGTTGGTAACCTGGAAGTGTCTACTTTAGAGTGGTGACTGCTCACTACCAGTTCTACAGTTTTAACTGGCAAGTGTCCAGAAGGTACGACATTTTTCTAATGAAGTTGTGAGAGATTTCTGCCTGAACATTGCAGTGACTACAGGATGAATAAGAAAATTTCAATGGATTTAAAAGATTCCTTTATCCATGAAAATTATTATAACTCTTTCTACACTTATCTAATTTAAGTCTAATTTATCTACTTTATGATACTTCTAAGTTATTTTCTACAAATAATGTTAGACATAGTTTTGAGATTTCACATTGATGAAAAAATTGGGAAATTTGTTTGACTGATACACTTGCCAAATGAACATTAGAGACTATTGCAAAGCAAAGATGAGTTCAGCTCTTCCCACTTCAATGACCCTTTATCTGACCGCCAATCATTTCTTTTCATTTGCCTTAGTCCCTCTGCACCCTGTCAGGACACATCTGGAGATCTGCTTCACTTGCTCCAGGAACTGAGAGAGTTGAGCCACAAGAAAGAGCACCTCTTAGACTCTTTGTCACCCTCCTATGTGTGCCTGACTTTTCCAGAATAAGGACCAGCCAATAAGTGCAATGTGTTTTCACTTTAATCCTTGTGCTTAAAGAAGAGTGACTGCTTCAAGAAGTTAGCAGCCAATTGCTACTCTCCTAAAACCTGCTAACTCATTCTATTCACATGCTAAAACATATGGTGTCATCTTGCACAGCTTACTTCACATTTCCAGCTGAGCAGTTTTGGGGAGTAAGGCATCATAAAAAAACTAACTATAAGTATAACAGAAAAATAAAAACAAGTATTTTTTGAGAAAACATTTTTTAATTTTTAAACTGCTGATATTTATTGCATACTCTTGTGGCAATATAGAATGAGCCGTAGGTAACTTCAAGTTCCTACGTTACATGGTATAAGGAGAAGTGATGTGTTCCAACAGTAGCATCTGTGATTTCTCGTACGCCAAATTCCACACGCAGGTTTGTAGGAACCACCTCCATGTTAATATTCATCAGAAAATGGGTAATTAGGGTCATCAATGAGACTAAAATTTAGAAAGACATATATTAAAGTCTTTATTTTATTTTTTATTAATGTCTTGATGAGTCTAACTTTACTTGCATAAACCTGTGCCAAAGAGATATGCTATAAAAGTGAAGTTAAACTTTGATTTACTCACTGCCTGTAAAACCTGTCATTGTTACATTTTTCAATAAATATTTGTGTTGCTGTTTTTAAAAATCCTGAACAAAATTATGTAAATTGCACTTATTACCTATAGCTGAACTTAGAGGAAACACAGAGAAATTCACTTATACATCCTAACCGCCAGGATGCCAATGCAAACAAAAAAGAAATGCTGTTTCACTCCAAATCTCAATGAAAGCAGAGATGATCATAACTTGTACACTTTAAGGCTGAGTACTAATACTCACTCACAGAATATGTATTTCAGGATGAAGTGCTTATTGTTAGCAATTTCACTCTCATTTTTTAAATCTACTTTTTTACTTGACCCACAACTAACTCTACACATTACATTTGTTAGATTATGTTACTGAAACAATATTCTAAGGATTCATAATATAGAATTTTATTCCAAATAAATTAGCATCTAATTTTTAGATCTTTATTCCTAAAAGCAACACAAAATATAAAGTGAGAACAACGCAATGTCATTAAAATATTTTATAAGGATCAATAATTACTGCTTTATATGTTAACACATCTTCCTATATTGTCTTTGTATTTATTTATACAAAATATTTGCAATGATAATGACATATTTCAAATTGCTCAGCGCATTGTCTATTCCTCTTTCAAGCATGAAAATTAATGAACACATAGGAGACATTTAATGTTTTTCTTGATTTACTATGACTAGCACATCTAATATGGGAATCTATACCTCTAGATAATAAAGGAAGAGTAAAGATCTAGTGACAACTGTGCGTTCTCTTCATCAGTCCAGTTTTCCTGTGCATGCTTTACTTTTTTTGTAATTTCTCATTTATATAACTACTTTCTCATCTGCATTGATGAACCTTTCTTTATAAAAGAGAAAACAAAGTGTTCCACTCACTGACTGCACTATAGCCCTTGGAGGCAAGGCTAGAGTTCTGAGCAAACACACACTAAAACAGTGGTGGTGAGCCCATAGCACTCATGTTATTCTGTTTTTCTCTTAATACAAAAGATGTTATTATGGCTATTTTTTCTACACATAAACAGTATTTAGCTTTATTTTTGGTGTTGGCAGTTTGCACTAAATTAGTGAATTTTATATTTCTGTTTGGAATTGGTGTTTGAAAAATTTAAGTACCACTGCAGTAAAAGACTTGCTATTACAATAACGTGAGAGAGTAGATGCTGAAATTTACTTACAAGTCAGCAGGTGTATATCGAAATTTTTTGTCCATGCCATCTAGGATTTTCATGTCTTCAGAAGTCAATTGGAATCCAAAGACCTATCACACAAGTAGAAAGTTTTTAGCATATTTAGATTGTATATTTTCCAATAAGGAAAATTCAAGAGAATAATATTGAGTGGTGAAGAAGCAATATTTAATATATATAAGAAGTTTTCAAAATGTATGAAATATTCTAGCAAAAAAAAACTTAAGTTGACAATGAATATCAGGTACAACTTAAATAGAAAGGGATTTTGAAGGAAAATAAATTGAAACTAAAAATAAAAATGCAACACATCTTTAGAAAGGTAGGCAAAAGTAACATTGAGCAGGATTCATGAACAATCTACAGGATGTAAGAAAGCACTTTCCAATGGTACAACTATTAAGTATTTGGCATCTGTAAAATTTGAGAATATTGAAGGATGAAAATGATAGACACAACCTGAGTTGAAAATGGGCTAAAAAGCTAAACAAACACTTCTTATGTGAACACATGCAAATGACCAACACATGTATTCCATAAAGTTTAATTTCATAGTTATCATTAAAATGCATATCTTAACCTCTATGAGTTACCATCTCACTCCAGTCAAAATGGACATCATTAAAGATACTAGAAATAACAAATGTGGGATGTTCTTAATAATTATTGTTATGAATGGAAATTAGTACAACCATGATTTAAATCAGTAATGTAATTATGAAATTAGAATATCTTGTTCTTCTGGATATCTCTTTGAATCTGTTTCCTGGATTCCAATTATTTCCTATGTTGGGCATTTTCTGGGAGAGATAATAGATAGAACTCTTAAACACATAGGTGTAAACAAAGTTTTCATGCGGAAAAACTCAGCTGTATAGGAAATAGTAAAAAGAATGAACAGCTAGGTTCTCATTCTCTTTAAAAGGATTTGTACAGCAAAACAATTACTAATAGAGTAAAAATACAGCACACATAAGTAGAAAAAAATTTCAACAACTTGAAATTCTGACAAGGGAATAATATGTGGAAAATATAGAGTATTGAAAATAAATCAAAAAAAGGAAGAAAGAAAAGAAATCAAACCCCCAAATGTAAAAGCCTGATAGAAAAATGGGTATCTGAGATGACACTTTTCAAAAGAAGAAACACAAACAACATATATGTATATAAAAAAAAGTTCAGAGAAATGCCATTTGAGAGATGCAAATTAAGGCAACACTGAGATTCCACCTCGTTCCTGAAAGACTGGCTATTATCAAGCATCATTTGATAACAAATGCTGGGAGTGAATGATGAATGTGGAGAGAAACAAACATTTTTCCACTATTCATGGGAGTGTAGGCTTGTGTAGATATCAGTGTTTAGATTCTAGAATCAAAGAAAAAATATCTTTGGAATTAGAAGTGCCATTTGAGCCAGCTCCTATTCTGTGGATATCTTCCCAGGAGTACTCAGAGCATCATACTCTATGGTTGATATATGTGCACACATGTTTTATAGCAGTACTGTTTGTAATAGCTAAATCTTGCCAACAACTTTAATGCCAGTCAACCAAGGAATTGATAAAAAAGCTGTACCTTCTTTTTATGCAATGAAGTGCTACTCAGTCATAAAGAAAGATAAGCTTGAGACAATGCTAGGTAAAAAGATACACCTGAGACCATATGTGTAAATGGGGCACATGAGTAAATACTGCACTGTTTTTCTGATGTGAGAAACAAATCTATATTGTTCAAATGGGAAGGGGGACTCAGAAGGTAGGAAATGGAATGAAGGAAGGTGAAAGAAAAAAGTTGAAACAAAAATAAATGGAAATGAATCTTTATAAATGAGGAGACAAGGGTCTGAATAGGGGAGATAATTGGGAAAAATGAAGTCAAATTATGTCTTATACAGGTACAAATTCCCTACATATATCTAAATTGTAAACATAAATTTAATAAAAAGTAGAATATATATTTGATCAAGAATGCTATATTTAATATGTAATCACATAAAAAGAAATCTGTACATTAAAATGATGCTTGCTCTCTCAAGTCTGTGACAGCACTGCTCAACAGTAGTCTATGTGGAAAGAAAAAAACAGGTTCTGTAGCAGATGAGTGAATAAAGAAATTGAGACTATGAGAAAGGTGAATAACATGTCATTAAAATAAAATATTATTCAATCACATGCAAATAATAAAATTCGGGTGTTTGTTGCATCCTGGGTGATAATGGAGATCACTATGCAGAAAAATAAGTCAGAGAGAAAAATTGAAATGGCACTTTTGTACTCTTGAAAATCACTACATCAAGTTCATGGAAATATAGACTAGTGGTCTCTAGTTATTACAGAATTAATGGAGAAAAGATTGATGAGAATAAATAGAGAAATTTTAGAGATCAGCAATGAATGTTTCAGGGAGAAAGTGCTGGTGGGGAATTAAAAATAAAATGTTGAGATAGATGTAATGGTTGATTGATTGTGTCAACTTCAGAAGTTTAGAAGATTAACTGAGTTGTCTCAGCAATTCTTCTCTTCAGATTGCAAAGGAACCACCCTGGGAAGATTGTTTCCTGGACAGTATAAGAGGAAAATGAGGAAAGAGAGATTAGCTTCTGATTTTCAGAGAACTCCTGCCTTTTCGTCAGCCTGGATATCATCCTGGATTCTAGCACAGACTCTGGCTTCTTCCTTAGATACTTTAGCCTTCAAGCTTAGAATCTTCAACCTTCTTTCACAGCCCTTCAGTCTCCTGAAACAGATGTGCATGGACACTGCAGTGAACTCCAGGCATTGGACTGAACCCTTCAGTCTCCAGTGTGCAGGTACCATCTGTACTCTTCCTCATCTCTCCAATTCTGTGGCTGATCATCCTAACCCAATACTGTCATTTATTACAAATTTGAATATTTTTTTGTGTCTTCATATATTATATATGTTTCTCTAGTCAAATCCTGACTGATACAATGGACATATTTGGAAATATCATACTGAAACTCACATTTTATGCAATTAATTGTACAAAATGTAATTTTAAAAAAGTAAAAAAAAATGAAAAAAGTAAAAGAGAATTACACCTGAAATTATTCAAATTATAGAATTTTATATATAGGTCATCTTGAAGAGTCTATTTTAAAGGAAAGTAGAAAATTTATGGATCTAGGAGCTGGGGAGATGGCTCAGTAGTATAAACCCTTGCCTGACAAGCGCAAGGGCCTGAGTTCTACCCCTGGTTCCGAAAAAAAAAATATGGATCTCAATAATTTTAATGAAAACCCTTTTTCCTAGCAAAGTGCTCATTAAAAGATTTTAAACAGTAGTTGCTCTTAATATAGTTTTTTCAGGATTTTCCCAATACTCATTTCTGCATAGTCAAAAACCAAGAAACTTGGTTTATGAGAAATTTAAGTTAATCTGAACCAACTTAAAATTAAAAACAAAAAGCAAAAAACAAAGTTTGAATTGCTAAAATGTAGTAAGATGGCATTATTAAAATCTTTTTCATGAAAAGAGACATTGGATAAAATGTTACCAATTTAGCCTCTGAAACCTTTAGGTAAGAGGCATTCCTAGCATTACTTTTAACATCCGCACATTTGAAAATTGCCATAGCGGAAGTGAATGTTATGAACAGATTAATACAATTCTACTTAGTCTAGCTTGAATTATATCATATCAGGACCATATATTAATGTTTTACTGGGGAAAGTTAAGAAATTCATTTAAATATATTCCAAGACCAACTAAATAACTGAAAATTCAGCAAAATTTTTTAATCAAGAAAATAATAATCCAAAATTCTGCTCTTCAGCATAGCAGAAGTAATTCTGTAAAACAAATAGGATAATGTGAAGAATAATAAGGTAACTGATGGCACAAGACATTCCTGGGAGATATTGAAAGGCATTTAATTTTTACATAAGTACATTTGGATAACTTTTCACATTGTATTATCAAATGGAACTTGTATTAAATATTAATTTTAAAATAAAGGACTATAACTTTCATAAGTTAATAAGCTGAAATACTGTTCTATAGTAAAATACAATAATAATGATATTCATCTTAAAAATGAAGATTATAGGGAAATAGGTTCGTGAAAATTCAATATAAAATGCGTGAAAATATGAATGAATTTTGAAGGAGACACCTCAAACAATGCTATATCAAGTCTGGAAAACAGGGAACGTCTAAAATATATGGGTAGTTAATTATTTTAAGAAAAAACACCTAAATAATTTACATGCCTTAGTCTCCAAGTTGTTTGTTCTGTGAATTTACACTTATCCACTAAAAGGAAAGTTTTTTCTTTCTCTTTTTTCCTTTTAAAGTTTCAATAAAGCATGGTTTTTATTCTCTTGCTTTGAATGTTGTATTGGGAGAAGGGAAAAATAGAACAAAAAACCTTAACCACTAGGAAGAATGTATGCAATGTGTTAATTATTGAAACTGTCCTACCAATTTGGTTTCAAACTCTCTCATTGCTATTTGTTCCTTAATAATATCATGGAAAAAAATAAAATCAAATAAAAAGAACAAACAACCTCAAGATTTAAAACTGGGCCTCTTGTTCTTTGAAAAATCAAAAACAAGTGTCTACTAATTTGCTTAAACAAGCAGGCTTAGTGGGTCTGTATTTCAAACATAAGTTTAAAGTGGGAGATGAACAACATACACTACCAGTTTCCAGAACTTAGTAGAGGGAAGTAGACATATCTAACAGGAAGTTTTTTAATTCCTCAACATTGTAGTCTTGCCTGTCCTCTTTTTCTTTTAAGAATTTTTAGGGCAGGGTCTATAGGGTGTACAGGATCTCAATACATAGATTGGACTCATAGTGATTCTCTTGTTTCCAGCCTCCCAAGTGCAGGGATTACAGGTGGGTTCAGCACACCGAGTCTGAATCACCCTTTCAGCTTGTACCAAGGGTGAAGATGTAACAGCACCCCAGGGATGGAACCCAGGCCCCTGCACTCTGCTGATGCAGGCACTTTACTCTGCTGAACTATCTGGATGGCCCTTGGCCCTCCTTTGTAATATGCACTGGGCACTAGAAATTGAATGAAGCAGCAATATTTCAGATTTGAGTTTATGCATGAAAAGAGGTTGTAAGATTCTATTCATTACAATGTGACAGATCTACATGATGAAATTCCGGCTAGATGGTTTGGAAAATGAATGAAAACAACATCACAACCAGCTGAAATATTCCACACAAGGGCAGTGGAAATACTCCACACAACTGCCTGACCAACATCCTGAAGCACAGTAACCTCACTGTAACCTGTAAATGCAGGAGTGTGCATTGTCAATGAATGTAAACACTTAGCTGATAGAACGCACTTTAAGACTTCTTTCTGAGCCAGAGAATCATGGAGAACAGTTATTTTATAGGATAAAATTCAATATTTGAGGTGTTTTGTTTTGCAGAAAGCACAGGTTATATATTAGGAAATGTATACAAAATGAAAATAAATAAGCAGATTAAATGATCAGGACATGAAAAGAAACCCAAAATAAATAAATACATGATTTTGAAATGTGTGAGTATACAGGGAAATAAAAGTACAATTGTTGCAGGCAGCCAAATGAGATAGATATATTGTAAGCATTTAGACAGGGTCAGGCCCTTAAGGAGAGAAGAGGGAAGAAAAGGTGAACTTGCAACTTGGAAGAGACAAACACTGGCATCAGGGCCACACCTCATGACCAAGACAAAAGAGGAAACACAGCTACATACTTCCTTAGGGTTGGGCATTAGGGATTGATAATCTAGATAGGTATTAATTACTTTGAAAGAGCCCAAAGTGAGTCACTAGTCCCACTCCAACAGGAAGATATAATGTCCATATTCATGCTCCCTTGCTACATGACTCGCTTCCTCATTTGGTCTTGGATTTAATCCATTTTACCTGAGCGATGGTGCTTGTAATCTCATTGGTGAACAAAGTTTTGTCCCACCTCATGCCCACCTAGGGAAGTTCTCTACCACCTTAGACCTGCCTCACCATTAGGTTTTCCTCTATAAACCTCCCTGGAAGAGAAAACATCCTGGGGAACAACCTGCTTGGGTCCACCTCCTGTTCATCTCTCAGACAGGAGCTTTCTTTACCTCAATAAATATATTCTGCTCATAACCTCTTTTTGTTCCTAAAATTCATTCTTTAGTTTTAGAGAACACGAACTTGTGCAGGTCAGTTCTGGAGATCATTTTTCTTTATGTCATTTGGTGATTTCATATATCATTTGGAGGTCACACTCCCGAGATCAGTTTTTCTTCCTGCATCACAATCACCATATTTTGTAGAATAATGAAAATTGAATGCAAATCCCTCACTTAAAAAAGAAGAGGAAAAAGATGTCACTTCCATCAAGATGTGTATTACTGGGCTTGTTTAATGTTGGAATCAAAGTTCCTGTGATCTATGCTATCCTAATTAAGTTGGACAGAATGTTATCCAAACTCCTGAAAAATGATGTGTCTGGAAAATGCTGATAATGTCACAAATATTCATAACTATCCTAACAGTTTTCCAAGATACACACACATGAACAATGCAGAGTTGAAACATTGATTTGGGGCAAGAACCTCTGTTGGGGCCCCAGAGTTGCCTCAACACTGTTGTCACCTGCACGTTCTCTTTTATCTCCTTCTCCTTTAAACTCTGGGCTAGAACCACAACCCCACGCTGCACTTGGTATCGAAGAGCAATCAGGGCTGGAGATTGCTGATGCTTTTTGGCCACAGCACAGAGGACAGGATCTTCCAAGAGAACTGGAGCACTTGGGTCCACCCTGAAAAGTAAAGCAGACATGGTGGACACACAGAGTGAGAATTTATCTTGTTAGGAGGCTTTTAATATAAACTATGGATCCAGGTTTAGAGCAATGATCCTCAAATGCAGTCCTCATAGCAACAGCATGGGGATTTTATGCCATCTTTTTAGAAATGCTAAGTATTTTTTTCTTTCTGAGACAATGGGCCCTGATGTATAGAAAAGAGGGTATAGCAGAAGTTACTATTTTCATTTCCCATGACGTCTTTTTATAATTCCTGTTGTCATTATTACCATCGTTTATCTCTTTGAGATCCCAGAGCGTAATAGGCAACCAGAACAATGTCTTTAGACTTGCAGAAATCCAGCAGTTTGCTTTGATTGAGATAAGGATGGCATTCCACCTGTAGATAGCAAGACAGAAAGGGATCACTTACATGAAACTCTAATGTCCAAGGAAGGAAACACAATGTAAAAGTAGAGATTTTTTTTTTAATTTTTTTTATTTTAACATTTATTTTGTGTGTGTGTGTGTGTGTGTGTGTGTGTGTGTGTGTGTGTGTGTGTATGCGTGTGGCCAGCTCAGCCCACCAGGGGGCGCGGCTGGCTGGCATGTGGTGCTGGAGGATTGAACCGCGGTCCCTGTGCTTCACCAAGCTTGCTCCAAGTAGGTGCTTTAGACCACTGAGCCATCTCTCCAGCCCCAATAGAGATGTTTTGATAAGAAAATTTTGTAACATTTTATTTCAATAAAGCACTTCAATGTAATGATTATTTTCTTATAAAATCTTTAATATCGTTTTTGTCAAGATAGGTGGAAAAGGGAAATTACCTTTCCTAAGGTGCAGTAGGTGTGTGAACTCTAAATACATTTATATCTTCAAAGAGACATTGAGAATTCTTGACCTTTGACACTCAAACTTTATGCAATGCTTTGAAGTAAAATTGAATTACAAATTAAGAAACTGATCATAGAATCATGAGCACAAATTAAAAGGACAAAGAACCCCTACAGTTAGTAGACATCTGCAAATAAGAATTCATAAGATTTGTGTGTAAAGAACAATAATGTATATGATTTAGAACAAAACTTAGAGTAAATGAAAATTTTTGAACCCAAACACATGAAGCACAGGGAAAAAAAGGATAAAATAGAATTTGTCTGTTGTTGGAGTCATTACTGCAACTCTTCCCTGAATTTTGATAAGAAAAGAAACAGTATCTTTGTTTACCGTATATTTCAGGAATAATTAAAATTTAATATGAGTTATTAATTAAACTTTTTTTTGCAAAATATTGTGTAAAAAAGGAAATACATGTATTAACAGAAAATAAATACTCACAAATTCTACTGAACTATTTAATTCTCACAGAAATGGTACATGAATATTCTATTGTAGAGAAACTGACAATGGAATTAAGACTTTCACTTTTGACAGTTACAAAACATTAATAATTGTAATAGTAGAAGACATATATTCCCAAAGAAGAAAACTATAAATATTGAACCAAGTGACCAAAAGGTGCAGCACTAATAGTGGAGGGATCTGTAATTGTGTTTCTTACTGGAGTACCATGGAATAAGAGCACATTGAAGTCATCATTTAGTGGCCAAAGAGTAGCAGCTAAATATAATGAAGGCCTGAAATATATATTTAGTACAGGGTTTCACTATGCAGCTCAGACACATAGTGATTTTCCTGTTTCTGCATTCTCAGAACTGGGATTAGAGGCATGTACTACCATAGCCAGTTTCAGTGGTCAGCTTGCTGGAACCAGGTTTGGGCTAGCACTGCATGTGGTACTGGGGATAGAATCCTGGTCTTTGTGCTTGTCTGGGCAGGCTCTCAGACCACCGAGGTATCTCTGTGGGACTGGTAGTTATATTTTAAGTGAAAAAGGATTGGAATACAGAATGGATTTACTGACATGAAGAGACAAAAATCTGACAAATTCAGAATATTTAAAACACTCCACTGTCATATTGGTGGAATTCGTGAGCGTTCTTTAAGAAAAAAATTGAGCTGCATTATACAAAGCAATAAGTGGAACAGTTGAATCTTCTTTGTATAGGGAAGAACTATGAGAATTATTTCTTAAATCACTAGACTATTCAAACATCTATTGGATTTAGATGAGATGGAGTAAATATTTGGTAACGACGTTGGCTGCACTAATAAACAGTTAATTATGTGAGATAATACATTTATTTCCAACAATTGTCTTCTGAGACCTCAAAAATTCATGTTTCAAATGTACATCATATAAAGGATATAGTGGGCAGGTCAAATAGCTCAGAGGATTAAAGCACCTGCAAACAAGCACAGGTGCCTGGGGTTCAAACTCTGAGCCTGCCATGCCATCCCTGCCCTCAAGGCATGCAGAGATGGCAATTGAGACTGGATGTGATAGTGTGCACCTCTAATGCCAGAACTTGGGGTGCTATAAACAGGGGTATCACTACAAGTTGGACCTACTAATGAGACCCTGAACACCCTGTACAACTTTCCTAAGATACAAAATGGAAAAAAAGAAAAAGAAGGAAAAGAAATGCAGCAAAAATTAAATATTTGTATGCAGATGTTCCTATGTAAATCAATATCTGACCAAATAGCAAGACAAAAACTCTTCCAAATTGAGTAAAATAATATCAGTGTTCCTTACGCTGCTCGCGATTATTCTGAATATTTGAAATACTCCTGATAAGATAACTTAAGTTGCTACTAAATGTACATTTAGTTTTTAAATTTTATGTCTGATAGCCACAATGCTTTATCTATATATTTATATGCATTTGTAATATCTCGAACTGTACTTTCAAATTGAAGACTCTCACTTTCTACATGCAATTTTCAAAAAAAAAAATAAACTTATAAAACAGAAGAAAACCTCAGAACTCATCTCTAGAAATAGATTTGAAAAGAGAAAGTATGGAGAAAAAATGTGATTAACATGTGATCAGGCAAATATTCAGGTATACATTCTGTGGTATTTTCTGAATACATATTTCATTCACTATTATTATTCTTCTAAAATGCTATTCTTATATTTATCATTCGTTTCACTACATTAGATGCTTTTAATGGTCTGAGTTTACTTATTAAGTAGCTATATTTCTGATCATAAAGCTTGTAAGCATATGAGTTAATAATGAAAATGTCATATTTATGTACAATGAAATGTACTTTGTCATAAAGTCAATGACTAGAGTCATTGATAGGAAATGAAAGCATAATGTTAAGTACAATAAATCAGACAGAAAAGCTTAAATATACCAAAATTTCTCTTATATGTAAAACGAAAAATAAAGGTAAATTATAGAGTAAAAAAATGATACAAAATAGAGAGTTAGATCTTTTGCAATAAGGAAGGTGACCAAGAAATGTGAAATTAAAGTGAGGGGAAAAGAATGAAGAAATAAAAATAATTAAGACATGTTACGGAAGTATAATAACTTCCCATGTAGGGCAAATATAAAATAACATTTACCAAAGAATAGTTTCAAACATGATGAGAATAAGTCATCTGCACCACAAAACCCCATTCCCTAACCAATAATCTACTCTTATTTTCATACTCTACTTACTGTTTATTCCTTATTTCATTGACTCTTTCTTAGGCTTTACTCTGCAAAGCATCATTAATCATGAAGTCTACAGTCATTTGTCACTGCTTCATGATAAGTGCACCTTCGCTCTGAGATCTCATAATAACCCTGGTCTCATATGTAATAGATGCTAAGTACTTTTCATCAATTGCACTCAGATTTTATGGAGAAGAGATACAATTAATGATCCTCTATAACCTTGAAGAAAATCTGTTCTTAGTACTTTTGGTTCCACAAAAGTAAAATGAGCCTGGCTTGGGGGTAGCACAAACAGATACAGGGCAGTATCACAGAAATTAGCAAATGAGTAAGAATGGAGAGGAACCTGGCAGTGCTCACCTGATTGCAGACAGGCTTATACTTGAGTCCCGGCTTGTTCAATATCATCTCCAGCTGTCTGCGGTTAAAGTTAGAAACCCCAATGGATTTGGCCAATCCTGTATCCTTACACTTCTCCATGGCCTACGACATAAAGGACTATAGTGTCATGTGTACAAGTGGCTATATCAATCTAAATGCAATACACAAATGCTAAGATAAACTGGCAATGATGCTATTTGTTAATTGTTTATTGATAAGTTAAAAATGGAAAGACAAAAACAGCAAAAAGATATTGAGTGTCAGAAATAGAATTTATGCACACCCCTTGGGAAATGAGACTATTACTACATTTGCAAAACATGGATGGCTATTACTCATGTCAATTCTATTCATCTTCTTCAAACCATCATATTTCTATGTAATATATAAGAAATGCCACTGCACCATTCTGAAGAACAGCTTTAGAAATCATTTTTTCAGATTGATGCATAACTTGACAATTTTTTTCATCAAGTGGTTTCTCACTGGTACTCACCTCCCATGTGGCCAATATATCCCCTGTATCAAGTAATGATTTTCCTTTTTCATCTGTTGGAAATAGGTCTTCGCCTGGCTGGATTAAAAACACCATGTCAGTTATTTCTTCATGTATCTGCATCTCACCTTTAGCAAAGCACTAAAATATATCTAATGTGTGAGATATTTGATCTCAATGAAATAAATTTAGCACCAATCCATACACTTGTATTTATACTGTAGCTTGTGTTTGGAGTTGCCAAAATGACTTTAGATACTTTTATTTTTCTATTATTTTCATAAATATTATCTATTTTGGATAAAAGTTTTGCAAGACATGAGGACAGGCATCATGAACATATATTGTTTTTCTTTCCCTTATCGTCTTTGGTAAGTATGCCCCTCTTCTTTGTACAACCAAACACTCTGGCCTTGATCACCAGCACTAAGGAGTTGAAATCTTGACCTTGACAAAATGATTACTGTTATTTATCAAGACAGACACAAGTACATAAAAAAGAAGAGATGGGCCCCATGATCAATAGATGGTTTATTAAAAATTGATTTTGAGATAGGAAAATGCTGATAACATTAAAGTGTTAACAACATGATGTTTGAACTTTTTCAAGGCTATTTCCAAGCAACATGAAGGCTGGTACAGGACACAAGCAATCCCTTCTTTACACGGATAAAAATGTACATAAAGGGGCACATTTTATATCTTAATTGATTATTTTATTTAAATATAATAAATATAGATATTATGATAGTTTAGACAGCACTCTTCTTATTCTATGGAAATATAAATCTTAATTTCTTACCAAAATAATTAGAAAATAGTGATAGTTTTCACACTGAATCAAAAACTTAAGTGATTGGCTATAATGTTACTCAGAGTACAAATCATAGACAAAAAAGACTCCCTTACAAAAAAGAAGCAAGCAGGTAAAATCACAATTAGAAGATAAAATGTATTCATCCATCCATTCATTAAAATGATAACCATACTGCCAGGAATATTTATATTATATAATTCTGGTAGTGTTAATTGCTCACCTTCATAGCCACTGGGTAATGAATGAGATAGAGATCAACATAGTCCAAACCAAGTTTTCTTAGGGAAGTTTCCAAGCTAGGTTTTACCAGTTCTGGTCGATGAAAAGTACACCAAAGCTGGAGAAGTTCACAACAGGAAATTATGCTGGATTAATCATTTATCCAAAATTTCATATAAGTTTGGGATACTATATGCTAGATAAAAATTGTTAATAATGAGGAAAAATGGTGCTTATTTTTTCCTTGGTCTGCCCAATCTACGCAATTCTAATCATATGTTAGGATGTTGTCTTTCAATCCATAAAATCATGAAAGAAAATTTAAAACGATATAGCATTGCGTGAAATAGTAATACTTCTAATCTCTAAATTTTCTTTCATAGATATTTCATAGGTATTTTTATTTTTATTATTTATTTTTAATTTTTTTGCATAGGTATTTTTAGTCTAATTGCATTAGACATGTAATTCATTGGAGAAGAATTAGCTTGCTATTAGCTGCATAATAAAAACAAAACACATCGTAATATTTTAATTAATTAAGTTTATTAGTAAATTTTATGTATGCATGATGATCACATTCCTCATAGAGAATTTGTGCCTATATATCATGTATTTTGATTTTTTTATTTTCCCCCAGTTCTCCTCCCATCTCTTCAACCTTCCTTTTTTTAAAAAAGTTCCATTTTCATTTTTCTTTTTTTTTCTTCTTTTCTTTTCCATTTTCATTTTCCTCCATTTTTTTCCTTTCTTTTCCTTTATCTCATTTGTTCCTTTTATCTCCTTAGGTCTCCTTCCCATTTCAACTCTTTTCTCTTTCACAATGTCCATTATGCATTTTGGTTCTTATTTACAATTTCAGTTTCTTGCAATGGAGAAATGGTGCAATATTTGCATATTAACTGTAAAACTTAAATAAATAAGGTTTATTTCACTGAAGTATATGGTCTCAGGGAGTATTTATTTACTTAGAAATGTTTCAAAATTATCCTACCTTATGGCTAAGTAGTATTTCATTGTATAATAAAATCACATCTTTCAATCCATTTCTGGGCATTTTGGCTGTTTTCCAGATTTAGCTATTATAAATTATGCTGCTATAAACATGTATATGGGTACATTATAGTTTAGGATACTTTTTGTTTTTTTGAGAAGATGCCATGAAGAACAATGACAGTGTGGTTCCACTAATCTACATTCTGACTAATAGTAGACAAGAGTTTCTTTTTCAGCACAGTCCCTCCTGCATTTGTTATTGTTTTTTTTTTTATAATAACCATTCTTTCTAAAATGAGAAGAAATGTGAGTGTTGTTTTAATATGTGTCACACAAAAGATCAGCAATGTTGAAAATGTTTTCATATGTTTATCTGCCATTTCTCCTTCTTCATCTGAAAAGTGCCCCTTCTCCCATTTTTGGATTGGCTATTTGAATTTGGGAGGTCTGATATGAGTATTTTATATATTCCAGGTATCAGTCCTTCAATTGAGAAAAAGCTAGAAAAATAGTTTTTCCACATTGTGGGGTTTCTCTTCACTCTCTTTGTGGTTTCTTTTGATACACAAAATACTTTAATGAAATGAGATCCAATTGTCGATTCTTTATAATATTTCATGTTCAATTGAGGTTTTCTTCATAAATTCATTGCTTCTGCCTATGTGTTGAAGAGTTCTACATATTCTATCTTCCAGAAGATTTAATATTTCTGTTTTAATATTGAGATCTTTGATTCGTTTTGATTTTAATTTAGTGCATGATGAAAAACATGGGTCTAATTTAAATGTTTGGCATGTGCAGAGCCAGTTTTTTTTCCAGCATCATGTATTAAAGCAGCTGTCTTTTTACCAGGAAAGAATATGTGGCCTCTACTTTCAAAGATAAGGATGTTGTCCAACATTATTTTGTACTGTGCTGGGCCTCTTCTGGTTGAAATACAACTCATACTTCTGCCAAATTCTGTGAGGTATGCTATTGTTATTTTGATCAAAATTTCATTAAATCTGTACAATGATTTTGGAAGTATGTCTATTTCCCTCTTAGTTTTTCCTATTTAAATGCTCTTATATCCTCTTCAATCTTCTTTTCAGAGTATATTAGTTTTCAACTTTAAGGTCTTTTCTTCCTTTTTTTAGATTGGTTCTTCAGTGTCTCATTCTTTTCAATGCTATTTGAAAGGTATGATTTTCATATCACCTGGGAAAAATGGTAATTTTTACTTTCTTATCTTTATTCCCTTTAATAATTTCTCTTTTTTAATTATTCCTTTTTTTTTGGCAGAACCAGGGATTGAACTCAGGCCCTCACACTTACCAGGGAAGAGCTTATTGTACTGAGCCATCTCCCCAGCCCCTCTTTTTTAATTATTCTGACCAGTGTTTCCAGAATTATTTTAAATAAGAGTGGTGACAGTAGACATCTTTGTTTTGTTCCTGATTTTATTTTATCCATTTATATTTATTTATGCATTTATTTGGTACAGGGCCTCACTATGTAGCTCTGAAATTGCAGTTATCATCCTGTGTCAGCCACCCCAGCACTGGGATTACAGATATGTGCCAGTACCCACATTTTTGGTGATTGCCAGAGCATTTGGTGTCTGCGTTTGAACCCAAGCCCGTGCATTTTTCAGGCAGTCACTTAGACTACCAAACTATCTCCCAAGAATGTTCCTGATTTTGGAGAAAAAAAATTCAGTTTTTGACCATTTAACAAGATGTTGACTGTTGCTTTGTTCTTGATCACTTTTATCACACAGATGCAAAGACTATCTACTCTAGTTTTCATTTTAAGTTTTGAATCATTAAAGAGTGTTGTCCTTTGTCAAATTCATTTTCTATATCTTTCAACAGGATCATTTGATGTTTTCCTTGACTCTGTTTTTAGGGTGCATATTAATGTATGTGTGTTAAATCATCCCTGCATCCCTATGATGAATTCTACTTACTCAGTGTATAATTTTCTTGATGACTTTTTATAAATTGGTTTAATAGAATCTTACTGAGGATTTTTGTGCCTATGTTTCTTAGGGAGATTGGCCTGTAATTCTCCATTTTGGCTGGATATTTCTTGGCTTTGGTATCAGGGTAATACTTGCTTCTAGGAAGAACTCTGGGAGTATTGTTTCCTGTTCAATTTCATTAAACTTTTTGAGAACTACTGGCATTAAATATTCTATAATTTCATATAACTTTCACCAGTAAATTCGTGAGGACATTGGTTGCTCTTTCTTTGAAGGTGTTAAATTACATCTTCTACTTCATTGATTTTTATTGGGTTAATCAGAATTTTTACGAGTCTGGGGAGATAACTTAGTGCAATAAGGGCTTGCCTGCTAAGTGCAAGGTCCTGAGTTCTATCCCAGGTCCCACTAGAAAAAATTAGAATGTCTGAATAATCTTTTTGATTCAGCTTTGAAAACTCATATGTTTAAAGAATATGTACATTTCTTCTGTTTTCATCCTTATCTAACTACAAGCCCTCAACATAGGATTGATGATCTTGATTTCTGCAGAATCTGTTGTGGTTTTACTCTTTTCATTCTTAATTGCATTATTCATTTCTTTTTACTTTTATGATATTGAACTTAGGTTTGAACTTGGGACCTTGTACTTTCCTGGCAGATGCTTATGACACTGAGCTATGTCCCTGAACCTTTATTTCCATTTGTAAGTAAGTTTGGATAAAGGTTAATAGTTTTGAATTTTCATAAGAAGAAAATAGAACAAGTTCAAATAAATAGCCTCATGTTGAACCTCAAACTGCTAGAAAAAGTGAAACATAAAGCTTCTAGAAAAGAAGAAACTGCAAAATTACAGATATTAATGCAATTCAGGCTCTGAATACAAGGCAAAAATAAATAAATTGAAGAGTTCATTCTTTGGAAAATCTTTACTTTTGAAGAAGTGCAGGAAAGAATACATGATATTTTGGTTATAACTTGCATACTATTTAAAGCATTCTACAGTCGTTCTTCATATTCATACATAAAAAACTGATATTCACAGTATCAAAAAAATTTTAGAAAGTCATTCAGGAGAACAGGAATCTCATAATCTGGATTCAGTTATTGCTCATTCCACAACTCACATAAATTCACACTGATGTTTATATGGCATTTAAAGGAAAGTTAAAATTATAAATTTACCCATCAGACTATTAATTCCCAATCTTTATTTCTGATATTGTACTTCATATACATGAATAAAAGATATATCAAATCACACTTAACCAAATACAGATCCAATAATTTAATTGTTTTCTTCCACATATCATACATTGTTAATTTATAATGTGAAAGTTTTACATAAAATACCTTTGAAGTGAGGAATATGTCTTCTCTCTTCACAGCTCCTTCTGCGATCTTGCTGTTAATGGCCAGACCCACCTCCTCTTCTACTCCGTAAGCATATGCTGTATCAATATGGCGAAACCCAGCATCTATTGCCAATTTTGTGCCCTCCAAGGTTTTGCTGTTAGGAATCTAACACAGCAATGGAATATAGTTTTGTAAAATACAGTACATATTATTACTTGTCTCATATCAAACAAATTTAGTAGTCTACAAGGGCTGGCCAAATAGCTCAGTGGATTAAGGCACCTGCAATCAGGCTCAGTGGCTGGTGGTTCAATTCCGAAGACTGCCCTGCAGGCCTAGCCTAAGGGGTGTGCTAAAATGGCAACAGAGAATGGGCATGGGTGCGTGTGCCTGTGTCCTCCAACTCTTGGGAATCTGTAAACAGGCTGATCACTACAAGTCCAATCTAGTAATGAAACTCTGAACAGCCTGTAGACCCTTCCCTAACAATTCAAAAAACAAAACAAAACAAAAAACATAGTCTACTAGATAAGAATTAATTATGTAATCAAATATCTTCCTTATAGTACTTAATTGTGCGACAAAGTATTGATTACCCTGAACTTCAAATTTCCAACTTTCTGTCTATAAAACAGAGACAAACATGCACATAAAAATTGTAAGGTCACTAGCAGAAGCAATGACCTACAAAAGATTAACATAGCCCATTTCTTGAGTTAGTCCTAAATTTGAAATAATGAAGCTAAACTCAAATTCAGTTTGACTGAGCCATGTCACAAATTTGTTATCTCAAGCACCACTTGTGTTTCAGGCCATTTTAATACATCATTGGTATAATTTGTTCTAGAAATCAAAGAAATCTGAACACAGATCTCCTCCATTACATTTTGTATAATAAGGTCATAAAGCAAAATTCACACAAGGGAAATATGCATGAGAAAAGATATAGAAAAATACTATGCACATTTCTGAGAATATTCTATCAGTCAAAATACATAACACACTAAACATACAGGACACTGAATTTTAATCATGTATTGAAAATGTTTTCCACAAAGAAAAATCAAAATATTTTCTAAGGTATTTGTGGGGATGAGTTGCATCTTCCTCCCATGCTAGGCCACATCAGAATCCACTAAAGTAAAATGAAGTATATACACTCCATAATTGGTAACAATATTTTATGAACAACTGCCACTTTTACATATTTTGCATGGTGAGAAATCAAATTTCCTTGATGCCAGAAGTGGCCCAGGTTGTTATTGGCAATTGGAAAAAAATGATGCTGTTTCACATTAACTCTTTTTGAGTTTTTGAATGCAATGAGCACGGCTATTATGTTACATGCAAGTACAATACATATGCAAAATGTAAGACTGCCTTAATAAAATGGGTACTCACAATGCATAGATTTATGAAAAAAAGTTATATTCTTTAAAAAGGGACAATTGCATTACCTTTCAATCATTTAAACATAGTTCTGTTTTTTAAGGAAGATCCAATTAGAGTGAAATTTAAAATTATTGCCTTGTCTAACATATTGGATAATGAATTAAAATTAAAAATGAGAAAGTGGTGATATGCACAATGTATATGTTAATTCCTCAAGATGAATTTGATTATTATGCTTTGCTAACATATAACAATATAAAAGCTCACTTATTATGTGAAAAAACAAAAATCAATGCTGGCTTAATAAATTTCAGACATTTTCATTTTCCAAGAAAAGTACAATGAAAGAGAGACAAAGTCCTCCCATCAGTCCTGATTCCAGCTGTGAATTTTCTAAGAGTAAGGCTATTCAGAGTTTTAGCAGAGTTAAATTTCTTTGTGTAACCTTGATTCTTTTCAGTGCTTCATTAACCTGTGCTCTAGAGATAACCAAGTCCTAGCTCATATCTGTGACTGATTGATTTGTTACAGGGTCTCACTCTACAGTTCAGCCTTGTAGTGATCCTCCTGTCTCAGTCTTTAGTACTGAGACTAAAGGCAGGATCCATCCCACTCAGTTTTGATGGCCCAAACAGTGGTCCCTGGGTTCCAGGACCTGCATGGCATATGGTACTGGGGTTTAAACCTGGGTCCTTGTGCTTGCAAGGCAGGTGCTTAGAACACTGAGGTATCTCCCCAAACCCTATTGTCTTATTAAAAGTAAAATTATGACTTCGAAATTCTGGGAGTCAGTTGTTGTAAAACAATCCAGTTGTCAGAAGATAGTACTGAAAACCTTTCTTTCAGTCCTGGTTTATTCTCTAGTTTGCTAACTTCATTTCAGTGTACAGTCTCTATCATTGTGCTTCAGATCCAACACAGTTAGTAAAGGACTTATAATTCACATAAACTCAAAATAGGAGCTCGATTTTTCTGTCATTATGTTTTATTTTCAGAATAATTTTTGGTAGTTGAGAGTAGTACACTGGAAATTCTATTTAGCCCAAGTCCAGTATATCCCTGGAGATGATCGTGACTACCCCAAATCAGAGGAACAGCATTCTCCATTACTCACTGTTTATTTCTCATTTCCATTTATGTCTTCCACAATGTATCTAATGATCTTGCCTTCTTGACAGGAAATGTAAATTTTCTAAATTTTAAAAATAGATGTGCAATTAGCAATCAAACACACGGAGAAGAATTTTGTAAGCAGTTTTGTTGATTGCAGATTTTAATCTTTTCAGCCACTCTGGCAAATAATATGAAATAGGAAAATAAAATACTGCCAACAGCAATCAATACTTTTTATCAGTCCCTCTTGAAGAGCAAGATCTAACAATCTTCTCTGCAGTACATGGGAAAAGTCTAACTTAGTAAAACAGAAAATCTGGTAAAACTCCCAGAACTACACAAACACTGAGTGACCTGACCTGCCAAGTTAGCTCTATCTTCTGAGGTTATTTCCTTTTAAATTCTTTACCTCAAGGTCTCCCCTCTTACCTCCTGAGGCTTATAGGTACCATATCCGAGTGCAGGTATGAAGCGGCCATCATTTAGTTTCACACGCTGATTATTGCAATCCATTGCTCCTTACTCCTCTTGCTGAGCAGGCTCTGCTTTTATTTTCTGCTTGCATGGCTATTTATAGCCACAATCCATGGCAACAAAATTCCTGTCTGCATTTATCAAAGGCCCTGCTTATGTAACTAACAGTCAACGGCTCTGCCTTTCTTATTATCAATGACTCAGCAAATTTGGTATTTTTCTAACCACAGTTACTACTTAAAGGTTGAACTATGTCATGTGGGATTGGTGAGATGAAAGTTGCCTTCCCGTTGTGAGAAGAGAATTGGAACCAGTTCTCTCTTTCATCTGAAAAGAAATTGTTAACTAAATTTCTATTAACTGACAAAATGTTACTTTCTGTAAATTTTCTTCTGTCCCATATTTTTTTATGAGCAGAATATATTTATGAAAGCAAAGAAAGCTGCCCAATAGAGGGATAGGAGGGTTCCCGAGCGGGTTTTAACCCCCAGTCTTTGACATATTGTTAGATGTTAGTGCAAGATGAAAAACTACTAAACATTATTTGGATTAGAAAATTCAGATACCTATTTTCTTCATTTCTAGACTTTATTTTTTTGACATTATGAGTCTCTTCTGTATAATGTTATTTAATAACCACACTTCACACAGACACACATCAACAATAAAAATTAAATAATTAAAACAAGTATCCCCCACTAAACTAAAAGTTAAAAATTTGGAAGTGGTGGTCATTTTAACTTTCTTGCGCAGAAATATATTCTTATTTTTATTATTATTATTTTTTTTGTGTGTGTGTGTTTGTGGGCTGTTATTACAAGGTGTTTCCTTGTATGAAGAAAGTATAAAGTGCACAGTAGCAATAGTCATACCATATACAGCTTGGTTCAGGCAAATGATTAACAGATTCTGGAAAGCACTCTCCAAACAGAGACCTTGACACAACTGATAGCATTGATATGATTATCACAGGATAGTGGTGGTACAAAAGGTAAGTGTAAAAGTCATGGTCATGAGAGTTTTTTTCTTTGCTTTTGTTTTACTTTTTTTTTTTTTTTTTCAGAACCGGGATTGAACTCAGGCCCTTGCAATTGAACTCAGGCCTTTGTGCTTGCCAGGCAAGCACTTATTCCACTGAGCCATCTCCCTGACCCCGTTTTGTTTTACTTTAAAGCAGAAAAAATGAAAATCAAATAGCAGAACAAAGACAAAACAGAAGAATGTTTGTGTGTGACCATCCGCCTGCTCCTCGTGCCCGATACTTCTCCCCAGCCAGACTCCAGGCCAGGCGTGAGTGTGAGATCATCTGCCTGCTCATCAAGCCCTATACCCCTCCCCAGCCTGACCCCAGGTCCAGTGTGAGTGTGACAACTTTTGCCTGCTCCTTGCACCCAAGACCCTTTAACAGTCAGACTCTGGGTCAGGCGAAAATGTGTGTCCACCCAACTGCTCTTCAAGCCCAAGATTCCTCTCCATCCAGTTTGAACTATTCTCCTTCCTTTCCACATGCACAACTTTACCTCTTTTGTAAGACTCAGGATTCTTCAGGTCTCTTAAGATCAATTTTATTTTGGGCTTGATTGTATATAAGTTACTCATTTTGAATAATTGAAAATCCACTAACCAATCCTAGTTGTGCAGTATTCCATGTTTACCACATTAGTTCTCCAATAGGATTAAGAGATTAGAATAGTCACAATTAGTTATTGATGCAAATGCTATGTATTAGAGAACAAAATCATCAGGTAAGTTTGAAAACCAAACTTTGTTTTCCTCATTCTTTCTCTTCTGAGAATATCTGATGGAAGAGTTCCCAGATATGATTTATTTATTTATCTATTTTATTTTTAATTAATCATTTAATTAATTAATTTTTGGCAAAATGGGGGATTGAACTGAGGTCCTTGTGCTTGCCAGGCAAACAGTTATTCTACTGAGCTATCTCCACAGCCCACCAGGTATATTTTAGAATATATCACCTATTTTTCATCCCATTTATTTTCTTCCTCCAGGCATCTAAATTCCATACAAGTAGAAGCAAATTATTTCACATGACACTTTCTCTTGTGTATTCTCTCTTTCTGCAAGTATTTTTGTTGATGACCACCTACATTACACTGCAAATATTTAACTTTTATGCTTCCTCTTTAACCTGTATTCAAACTGGATCAGAGTTTTATAAAGATACAATGTAAATTTTGGTTATCCGCAGTCATATATTTTAGGTAATTATTTTCCAAATTGGGACAAATGTGAGATGAGGGCCTATATCACATGTGATGAATTTTGGTATAGAAATGTTCCTTCCCATAAGTTGTTAACCTGTAAAATTGCTTACAGCTCTAGCCCATACCAGAGATAATCCTTAAAAGAACTCTTATACTTCTCATGTAGTTAAGGCCAACCTTAATTTCTTGTCCTCCATTTAATGTGAGCACTGATAACCGAAGGTTTACTTTTACCATTGCAAGGATGTAGTGAGGTGCTTGATTTGCTACTAGTTTACTTAAAACTGTCTATGGAACATGCAGAGATTAAAAGCATCACACTATAGACTAATCTATGAATCTATGTGATGATTATTAAAATGAATATGATTTGACTCTCATGTTGTTCTTAGGTAAACAGACTAAAGGGTTGTGAAAAGAGTACCAGCTTACTCTGATACAAAAAATTTGAGGCCTGATGATATAGCTCAGCGGCACAATGCCGCGTGTCTAGGAGGCACGTGCTAGTTTGATTCCTGCTATGGAAGAAAAATAAACAAACAAACAGATAAAAAATGCTGAATCTAAGGCAGTAAGAATTACTTTACAGATCCTTCTTTTTCACTTCATGTATGCAAATAGAAAGGCTTGCAGGGCATATATATTTACTTTTCATTGTGTACCATTTAGAATTCCAAGTCTGGGCTCCACCCACATTACTAATATTCTCTTTGGTGAAAGATGTCATAAACCACACCGGAGGCACCTGTGACAGAGTAATTCTATACCTTAGGTACTGAAGTTCAAGGATATTGGAGTACATGTAAGAAGCTTCTTGTATACAATTCCCTCAGATGGGAGAAAATTTTGCCTAATATTCTTTATTCTTATTTTGTTTAGATATATTCTTTGCCATTACTTTCCATAATTTCAATTATTTATCTTTACTATTTTTACTAATTTTGGTTTAGTGTGTTTTGTCTTTAATTTTTTTATTCATTTTTATGTGATTTTCCATAATTTTATTATTAATTTTTAATTCAATGTGCTATATATTATTTTCTTTGTTTTCCATGGAGATAAAAATTTCAGTTGTTTTTAATGTTATAAACTTGTGACTGGGGAGATAGCTCAGTAGAAAAAGTGCTTGCCTGGAAAGTACAAGGGCCTGATTTCAATCAGGGGTTCCAAAAACAGCAAACAAACAAACACAAAGCAGAAGAAACAAACGACAACAACAACAAACAAAGAAATAAAAAACCCTGTGTATCTGTTATACATAATAATATTTTCTTTCAACCCAGGCTTGGTGTGTGAGGGAGATGACCTTGCACTCCCTAGATCCTCATCAACTCAGACTCAGACTACATGCCTGGCATGTCAGTGGAACTACCTGGGAACCAGCGGATCCTGACTCGACCCAGGCATAGAATGTGAGTGGGACCACCTGTGGCCCACCAGATCCTCATTTGAGGCAGTGCCCAGCACATCTGCAAATAAAACTCATCCATCAGACAGGCTGGGTGTGGAACCCTGCAGCAGAACTCCATGCAGAGAGGCTAGAGACAAGACCCTCGCAACTGATTGAGGAGCAGAACATCTTGTCAGAGTGTCACAGAAGGTTAACATCCAAGGACTGCAGTAGGAAGAAGTGGAGAACAGCAGCCAGAACCAAGCCATACCCACCTTGATGAATTTAAAGTTTGTGGGTTTGGACCTGTTGCTAAGATAATAACTCTATCTAAACTCTACAGCAAATGTTAGAAGACAGTGTTGGACAAAATGACAAAGAGAAGGTGAAAAATGCATTTTCAGACCCGAAGCCCACGTACAACAAAATCAGGAGATAATAGGATATGAGAAACTGGAAATTACCTGAAATCTCTGAAATAATAGTGTCAGAAGAAAAGATAGAATGGTGGAAAGGCATAGAGGAAGTCAGATCAGAAACAATTTCTTTTTTTGGAACCGGAGATTGAACTCAGTCCCTTGCACTTGCCAGGGATGTACTTATTCCGCTGAGCCATCTCTCCAGCCTCCAGAAATAATTTCTGAAGTAAAAAAAAGAAATGATAAGTATAATGAAAGAATCACTAAGTGCTTCTAAAGAAATCACTGTATAAAAAATAGTGAACAGTGATTCTGAAGAAGGCACTGATAAAAAAAATAAAAGAAATAGAAAAAAATATAAATCTTTGAATGAAAAATGTAGGAAAGAAATAGAATGCATGAAGCAGATTCAAAGTGCTATACAGGAAATTAAAACTTCAATCACAAGCTTGCAAAACCAATTGAATGAAAGTGAAAATAGACTTCCTGACATTAAAGACACCATTATAGCTAGTGAAAAGTTAAAAAAAAGAGATTTCTTGAAAACAACTAGGATGCTGGAAAAAATAATTTAACAAATTCAAGATAATGCAAAGAGGAACAACATAAGACTTATAGGCATCAGTGAGAAAGCAGGAGTCAATAAAAGTACATAAAAAGTATGTGAGCACAAGTGATAGCAGAAAACTTCCTAAATATGTGGAAACAATTTGACATTCCAGAAACTAAAGCATATAAAACTCCAAATAAAATCAACTCTGTTAGAAACGCACCCAGACATATAATAATCAAGATACCAGAAATTCCTCATGGGAAAATTATTCTAAAAGCTGCTAGAGAAAAGAAAGAGATCACATTTAAGGAAAACTCATCAGAATAGGGGCAGATTTCTCTTCACAATCCATCAAGTCAAGAAGAATGTGGAGCAAAGTACCTCAAGTCTTAGAAGAAAACAAATTCCAACCCAGACTGCTGTATCCTGCAAAACTCTCTTTCATGTTTGATGGAGAAGTGAAATACTTCCATGACAAAGAACAACTCAAGAATTTCATGGTGACAAAGCCAA